CAGCTCCCAGACATACAACACACACTGAGGCTGCGTTCAGAGGCTGCGTGTTCATATCAGCTCCCAGACATACAACACACACTGAGGATGCGTTCAGAGGCTGCGTGTTCATATCAGCTTCCAAACACACAACACACACTGAGGCTGCGTTCACAGGCTGCGTGTTCATATCAGCTCCCAAACACAACAAAGCAGCAAGCTAGGCTAACAGTTTCCCTCTGCTTCCAGTCTTCATGCTAAGCTAGGCTAACAGTTTCTCCTGCTTCCAGTCTTTATGCTAAGCTAGGCTAACACTTACCAGTTCTCTTCTTTGTGGGACTGGAAGGCTCTCAGGAAGGACGTCACGAGTCAAGGAATGATCAATTATTGGTCCATCTTGTGTGTGTGTGTGTGTGTGTGTGTGTGTGTGTGTGTGTGTGATGTCATCATGAAGGATATTGAACGACGAGAGTCTGGAACTTGTAGGCTTCAACAAAGTCGTGATTGGACACTGCGTAGGTACACCTGGAACACACACACACAGAGTGCTGTTGCTATGGTCACCTGCACTCTGACACACCTTCAGCTGTGACATAAAACAGAGGAGGCCTCTGATTGGCCGTCATACCTGAGGTGAGCGGCGACCATCTCATCGTATGGCGGCTCCAGGAGCTGCTGACACTTCTCCTCTGGACTAGCCAGCTGTCACACACACACACACACACACACACACACACAGGTGAGGCCGTATCCTAGCAACAGAGGCTGTGTGTACCTGAGGGGGTGGGGTCTGACCTGGAGGCGTGGGTTGGCGACATGTGGGTGTTTGAAGGAGAGCAGCTCAGCGCAGAATGAGCCCTCTCGGTTATCGATGGCCTCATAAACCTGCAGGAAGGAAACACCAACGAAGAAGAACACGTCTGTGTGGTCACATGGTACGACAGGTGACGACGATGATGATGATGAAGGTCAGAGGTCAGAGGTTACCTGTTGCAGGTACTGGTTGATGGTGATGTGAGCCATGACGGCTGCAGAGCTTCAACCTGAACACACAGACAGTTACTGACCTCACACTCTGTTTCCATGACAACATGATGATGTCAGCTCACTGACTCAGAGTTTAACAGAGAAATAAACAGTCTGACATCTTTAGATTAAACCTACTGGGAGCACTGGGAGCACTGGGGGCACAAACTACTCTGCACACATTATTCATGTATCTATCACTCTGTGACATGATGAGGTCAGAGTTTACCTGGCTGACTAAACCTGAGACTTTGTTACCGACTAACCGACCCCGCAGTGCTCAGACATGTCTCTGACTAACATCCAGTCGATCGATTAATCGTCCCAGCTCACAGTTTGACTTTACAGACGAAATGTGTCCATTTAACTCCGGAGGAACAGCTAACGTTAGCTAGCATGCTAACCCGCTATTTTACGCACGTCACGGTTACAACAAGTCGTGAAATAAATTCTCTCAGACTTCAGACTGTAAACAAACAGCGGCGTCAACACAGCAAACAAAAACAAACAATGACGTACCTGTTAGAGCGAAGGTTTAAAGCAGAGAACAGCCCGCCGTGTCTCACTTCATTCAATGATTACCACGGCTCCAAACAACTTCCGGGTCAGCAAGGTCGGCTTCCGGTAGTATTTCACAATAAGAGGACACACCGGATACACGTATTACAAAAGATAGATTTTTTTAGTTTTTATCTGCTGAAAAGTTTTATTTTACAGTTTAATATAGAATATAAACCTGTATGACGTCATTTGACAAGCAACATATTGAAATTTAAGTCTTTGCAGTGCCGGGTGCAGAGGGGGTCAACATGGATGTTTTCAAAAACAAATAAAATGTGACAACTATTATCTAATTACATCATCGGTTAAATTTTGTTCATGAAGCTGAGATGGATGGAACATAAACTGTTCTATTGATAATTCTATTAATGTATTATTTCATGATTATTTATTATTCTATTTTGTTTTTATTTGTTGTCAGGCCCAAACAGAATCTGTGGATTATTATATTGTTTACAGTACTATTTTTTTTTTATTTTATCTTATATTTAAGATATTTCATATATTTATTTATTATCGATTTATCTATTAACGGGAAATTTGATTTCATATTCCAATGAATAAATACCTTATCGAATTAATTAATACATAGATGAATAAACAGCAAACAGACTTTGTGATAAATATATGAAACTAATAAAATGAGTGGTTTTATTAATATTTTGTTTTTAATTTTGGAGTCAACAGGAAGTTTAGAGACAAAACAAACAGCACTACACACACATACACACGCAGTGTGACAGCAGCTGCACATTAAAGTACTGGTTACTATTATTATTTAAGATTTTTCCTGAACATCGTCAGTGTTGTGACGCTGTGTAACGTGGTGATGGAGGGGTTAATTTTATTTACAATAAAACACATCCCAGACAGGCAGAGGGTCCTTTAAATCTTTATAGACACAGAGCAGGTTGACGATGTGTCTTCCATGTGATAAAGTTCATGCAGCAGAGAAAAAACGTCAGATATACAACTCTTATTATTCTTTTGTTTAGAGGAGACAAACAACAATAAACAAACAACATGCAGCAGCTGTAAACACCCACCAAACAGGAAGTGGCTTTGTTTTTTACTTTATGAGATGAAACAGTGTAAACACAGCTGATGGTCTGAACAGCAGGGGGCGCCACAATACCAACATGTCACTGTGTATACTGGGTCTGTACTGGGACCAGTTTAACACGTCACTGTGTATACTGGGTCTGTACTGGGACCAGTTTAACACGTCACTGTTTATACTGGGTCTGTACTGGGATCAGTTTAACACGTCACTGTGTATACTGGGTCTGTACTGGGACCAGTTTAACAAGTCACTGTTTATACTGGGTCTGTACTGGGATCAGTTTAACATGTCACTGTGTATACTGGGTCTGTACTGGGACCAGTTTAACACGTCACAGTAACATAACGTGAACATATTTGTGTACTATACAACAGTAATCATAAGTGCTAATATCGTAGGCAACTAGACTTGCTTGTGTTTCTTGAAGACGTTTCGCCTCTCATCCAAGAAGCTTCTTCAGTTCTAAATGACTAGTACGAAACCCTGTGTGGGTGTGAACCCTTGCATGCTTGAGTCGTAGGGGTCACGTGAGCTCTTAGTTTCAGAGTCGTTAAGGTCACTATGTGAGTCGTTAGGGTCAGGTGGGGCCAGGGGTGAATGGGTGTGAAGTCGTCTGGGGAGGTGGATCAAAGACTCACACTGTGACCTTAATGACTCTGAAACTAAGACCTCACGTGACCCCTACGATTCTGCAAGGGTTCCCACCCACACAGGGTTTATAGCCTGCAACTTTGTACCATCAATCAATCAATCAATCAATTACCAGTCATTTAGAACTGAAGAAGCTTCTTGGATGAGAGGCGAAACGTCTTCAAGAAACTCAAGCAAGTCCAGTTGCCTCCAATATAGCACTTAGGATTACCATGACCTGGATGACTGAGAATCTTCACCGACAAGTATACAACAGTACAACTTCAGTAGCCACCAACAGAGACCAGTACCCGCTGGTAGTTAACTGGGAATATTGACCAGTGGTCACCATCGGCTACTGTTAGCCACCAACAGAGACCTTTAACAATCAGTGATGGAGAATGAGCTATTTACAGGCACCACTGTGGGGACTGGGACTCTTCAGCTCTCACCAGTAGCCACCAGCGGTCACCGGTGGCCACCAGTGGTCACCAGTATCCACCAGTGGTCACCAGTAGATACCAGTGGTCACCAGTAGCCACCAGTGGTCACCAGTAGATACCAGTGGTCACCAGTAGCCACCAGTGGTCACCAGTAGATACCAGTGATCACCAGTAGCCACCAGTGGTCACCAGTAGCCACCAGCAGTGATCAGTGGTTACCAATAGCCACCAGTGGACTCCAGTAGCTACTAGTGGTCACCAGTGGTCACCAGTAGTCACCAGTACCTACCAGCGGTAACCAGTGACCACCAGTGGTCACCAGTAGCCATCAGTGGTCACCAGTGGTCACCAGTAGCCACCAAAGGTCAGCAGAAGCCACCAGTGGTCACCAGTAGCCACCAGTGGTCACCAGTAGCCTCAAGTGGTCACCAGTGGTCACCAGTAGCTACCAGTAGTCACCAGTGGCTACCAGTGACCACCAGTTGTTACCAGTGACCACCAGTGGTCACCAGTAGCCACCAGTAGTCACCAGTGGTCACCAGCAGATACCAGTGGTCACCAGCAGCCACCAGTGGTCACCAGCTGCCACCAGTGACCACCAGCGGCCACCAGTGGTCACCAGTAGCCACCAGTGGTCACCAGCAGCCACCAGTGGTCACCAGTAGATACCAGTAGCCAACAGTAGCCACCAGTGGTCACCGGTGATCACCAGTAGCCATCAGTAGCCACCATTAGCCACCAGTGGTCCCCAGTGGTCACCAGTAGCCACCAGTGGTCACCAATACCCACCAGTGGTCATCAGTGGTCACCAGTGGTCACCAGTAGCCACCACTGGTCACCAGTAGCCATCAGTGATCCACAGTGGTCACCAGTGGTCACCAGTAGCCACCAGTGGTCACTAATACCCACCAGTGGTCACCAGTAGCCACCAGTGGTCACCAGTAGCCACCACTGGTCACCAGTAGCCACCAGTGGTCACCAATACCCACCAGTGGTCACCAGTAGCCACCAGTGTTCATCAGTGGTCACCAGTGGTCACCAGTAGCCACCAGTGGTCACCAATACCCACCAGTGGTCACCAGTAGCCACCAGTGTTCATCAGTGGTCACCAGTGGTCACCAGTAGCCACCAGTGGTCCACAGTAGTCACAAGTGGTCACCAGTAGCCACCAGTGGTCACCAGCAGCCACCAGTGGTCTCCAGTAGCCACCAGTGGTCACCTGCAGCCACCAGTGGTCACTAGCAGCCACCAGTGGTCACCAGTAGCCTTCACCTCCATTCGACCAATCACATCCCTCCTCAGAAGGAGTGGGTGGGGCCAGGTGGCCATCCGGCACCGCCCACTCGACCGTGACTGGGTGGCTGTATCAGGCTGTCGCTGCTGATTGGTCCGTGGAGAGTGGTGCAAGGTGAGTGGGCAGGGCTTAGCTCAGTGCATCCGACGGTCCACAGACAGGGATACTGACTGAACAGAAACATGTTTACATTTACATACAGGAAGTCATCAACCTTTAACCTTATATGGTGATGGGCAGGGCCTTACCTGGAGTTATGAGGAGGAGGAGGAGGCTGTGAGGAAGGAGCGCTGCTAGTCAAGGGGAGGGAGGGGGGAGAGGACAGGGAGGAAGAGGAGGAGGAGGGGGGACGAGGGGAGGAGCTGCTCCATCCGTCTGATAACACTCCTTCAGACAGACACACTGACACAACATGTAAACATGTAAACAAATCTGTTGTTTATATAAAAGCTGAACTCCTTCAGACAGACACACTGACACAACATGTAAACATGTAAACAAATCTGTTGTTTATATAAAAGCTGAACTCCTTCAGACAGACACACTGACACAACATGTAAACATGTAAACAAATCTGTTGTTTATATAAAAGCTGAACTCCTTCAGACAGACACACTGACACAACATGTAAACATGTAAACAAATCTGTTGTTTATATAAAAGCTGAACTCCTTCAGACAGACACACTGACACAACATGTAAACATGTAAACAAATCTGTTGTTTATATAAAAGCTGAACTCCTTCAGACAGACACACTGACACAACATGTAAACATGTAAACAAATCTGTTGTTTATATAAAAGCTGAACTCCTTCAGACAGACACACTGACACAACATGTAAACATGTAAACAAATCTGTTGTTTATATAAAAGCTGAACTCCTTCAGACAGACACACTGACACAACATGTAAACATGTAAACAAATCTGTTGTTTATATAAAAGCTGAACTCCTTCAGACAGACACACTGACACAACATGTAAACATGTAAACAAATCTGTTGTTTATATAAAAGCTGAACTCCTTCAGACAGACACACTGACACAACA